ATATGGAAAACTAATCAAAAGCAATCCCAAGAAAAAAGTTGAAAATTATTAAATATGGCATTTCTCTGTGATAACAGCCGATCATTGTTATTTATTTTGCCAACCAAGTGCACGTATAGTTAGCCTGTATCATTTATTAAACTTAGACTAACCATTCCAAATCTATCACAAGTTGTTTTAAACCTTCCTTATACAAGACAAAGACACAGCACTTTCTTGCAAACCAAAGCCATTTACTATGTCAAAATTTATTCACTCATTAAGATGAGTAAGTCCCTACCTGTAGAATAAATCAGTGCAAAATTTCTACTTAAACTTCTACTCGAAATTTCTCTAAGCCTACCAAATGAGAAGCTGCTAAGTGATAGTACACTGGGTGAGTTAGATATGTAACAATCTCACGATCATACCAAGTTACATATTCAGTTTCAGCTTCCTTTTAAATGTAAAATACTAAGGATCTGCTGGCTAACAAGCTAACTTTTTTTTATTCTATTCCAGTAACCAGGCAACAGACAACTGTCCAACTGAGAATTATCTCTCTGAACAGCTGGCAATCAACACTTGGGGGTTTTTGGTGGTCAGACTTTTTTTTTTTTTTTTTTTTTAAACTAGGAAAAAGATTAGTGATTCCAGTGATTACTTAACAAACCTACACACCTCTGAAATCTCTATTCACTATTTAGCCATTTCCTCAGTCCCATTATCCCCAAAGTTACTCATATAAGTAAATGTTTACAACAGAATCTGAAAATCTTAGATATATATACTTATGAAGTCTCTAACTACCTAATGTTAACACTTTAGAAAAAATTAGAAGTATCAAGAATAAAAGTGAGATGCATTTATTGATGTATGACAAACCACCTTCAAGGAACCATGACAACAGACAGCTAATAACTAATGCCATTCTCGCTTCTAACTCCATTATTCTTTTTTCTCTTCCATAGCTGAAAAAGCAGTATTTCACTTCAACATTATTTCAAGTGTTGATTTTTAAAACAGATTCTTTTCCCTACTAGACTTTAGGTTATTTTTAAGAGTTATAAATTAACATGATAATTCCTTTATTATATAAAGGAAATAATAATGGTGAACCAGGCTTGATATATTATACCCTCCCTCTTTCTAACAGATTAACAGGAGTAATGAAGCTAGAAAGTGAACTTATTAATTATAAATTCCTGTAAAGTTGTGTTTGTTACGCATTCAATGTGTTTGAAAGGTTTTTAAGAGTCAGAATAAGAGATTTTTGAAAAGGGCAGTTGCACAAAGATTAGCTAGATGATTTCCCATAATACATGAATAGTTTAAAAAAGATGATATTTGAGTACAAAACATCTCAAATACAAGCCACTGGGTAAAAACATAACATAGCCACACAACACTTCACACACTCTCTACACGAGGCGGGGGAGGAAACTCCCACCTTTTGTATTCTCCAAACATTTAGATCAGTACTGATTAGAAATCTGCTATAAAAACAACACAGCTAATCTGTTGTTAAAAGCAGTAAAACCTTATCCCCATTTAATTATGTTTTTATTAATCTCTGCTCTTAATATGATCTAATTTCAGTACACATATGACTTCATATTCCAATAAATTGAAAAACACTGACCGAGCTCAAATTCACTCAAGCACCAAGTTCAGACCAGGCAAGATCCTGTTGCAAGATAAACAACATGATGTGATGTAACATAATTTTGTGCGTGTGTGTGCGCGCATGTGTGTGTATGTATGTGTGAGACTGGGGCGGGAGCGCAGAGAGGGAGCGAGCGCAAGAGTGCATGAGAGAGACAGCAAGGAAGTGAGTGCACGCCAGCATTCCCAATGGAAAAAAATACATATGTCCAGAGTAGTTTTCAATCCAGCGCTCACTATAATTCAGAATGGAGAAACAGATAAAACAATGAGAGCTTAATACAACAGAAATAGTGACTCTTTTTTATATTATTCAAAATAAAACCATACATTACAATAGCTTCACAGAATGGCCACTTTGTTTCTGAAGTTCACTTCATTAATATTAAAGTAGCATGGCTACATCTGTATTTAAATTTTGGACCAGAACCTACTAGTCAATACACACTGTACTTCTCTGCAGAAAGGATCAGCACCATTTAGTTTAAAAGTAGGGCATATTTTGCCATTTTAATTTCATTTCCACTAATCTAGGGGGACAAGCCTGAACAGAAAAGAATCAGGGATAATCTATGCACAATAACCAAAGTCAAATTGCAGAAGTCCAGACAATTAGAAAAGGCCAGTGGGTAACCTGAAAAGAGAACAATAAATTGTGTACTCAAAAAATAAGACTGTAGTGGACGGTAATGTGTTTATATACTGCTTCCTATTTTGTAAACTAAAATGTTCAGTGAAAAGCTGGTTTTTTTCCTTCAATTTCTTGTAATTAGAGCTGCCATATAATTCTTCAGTAATTATGTCACCTTTTGATGCACAAAAATAATTCCAACAGAAATCAGTCTGCATACTGAAGTCCTATATCACAGAGGAAAAAAAAAGAACACTATTAGATCATAGGAACTACTCATGACTTCTGTATTACAATCAACTTCCTCCTTTCCAAACAGCAACTTACTCAGACTGTGCTAAAACTTTTTGGAAATACAGAAAAGTTTCACGGAAGCTTCGTCAAGAGAACATTCCATAATGAAATGTACATTAAACACATTTATAGTCACAAGCATCAGAGGTACGGGCTAAGTAACTTCTATTAGGAAAACAGAATAATTGTTTAAGAAACTTTGTATGAAAAATAAACCGTACGTTTATATTAGCTATTTCACAAGGTTTGTATTCCCTAATGCTATGTGAGCACGAAAGTCTGGAAGAAACCCAAAAGCCATCAGCTCAGGGAATGCCAGGACCTCCGAAAATTCCATGGGCTGGTGGTCAAACGCAAACAGAAAGACTAACGAGAGCTAGCCACACTGGAATCCATTTCTCATCCCTGTTCCATCCTTTAGCAGGTATCAGTCACCAACTTCCTTAAAACACTCATTTTCTATATGACACAACGTGGCTGCAAATTCAAAACAGACTGTATGAAGTCAAACTGGAACTTCATTTGCACCTGTTACAGTGAAACTGCTTAAGCCTCGCTGTCCTAGTTATATTATTACTACTGATTTTAAGAGAGAATGTGTTTATGTCACAAACGTTTTTACTCATGTCATTCTTGCTTGCTAATTTTTATTTTTCAAAGGTTCTTCTGCTACTACTGCTGTATCTTTATAATTTGCTACACAAGAAATATGTAATTCTGATTTAATCAGAAAACAGAAGAACTATGCTAGAGCACTGAACAAAAGATCTAATCTTTGGAGCGTCCTTCCCAAGTGAGTGTAAATAAACTGTAGTAAAATGAAAAGGCTTGTAATTTGGTATTTGGAATATTCTTCATAAACACCAATTTTCTGTAACATCCTTGCATATCTGATACTACCTCATGTATAATGCAGAAAATCTATTTCATTTTCATCTATTGACAGTGAATTTAATTTACTATTGCGGCTCTTTACCCAGATTATGTTATTAATTCTGCAATCAGGCTCTTTTGAATGCTTTTATTTCTTCCAAGAGTTTTCACAATTCTACAATTATTTTTTTTTCCACCCTAACATACCTTTCAAAATAAAAGACCATTTTTTTCTAACTTTCTAAAGAAAAGTAAAAATTTTTTAAAAAGCCCTCAAAGACAACTTGCATCAGTTCATAAGCTGTATCTTTCAACAGGAAAAATCTACATGCATCACTTTCACCTCTGACATTTAAGTATTATAAACTACGTTCATTAAGGAGATGTACAACAGGTGCATTAAAATTTCCACATCAAAAATCATCATTGTAAATAGAACACAAACTCTCCATTAATAAAAAATTATCCACTTCTGCCTGACACTGAAGTTAGAGGACAGGAAAGCTAAATGCTTCAATGTTAGTGTTCTGTTTACATCCATCCCAACTGCCTTCACTATTTTGTAGAACTCGGTCATCTTGTTAAAGTAGATCAAATGCAAAGCAGCTCTTATTTTTCCAACAGAAAAGAGTCGGTAACAGCTAGTCAACTCAATTCTAAATCACCAGTTATTTTTCAAAATAACAAAATCAAAACACCGAAAAGTGTTAGCTATGTTATTATTTTGCATCAGTTTTTAAAAAGTCCTCTAGAACAAAGTTCAATTACAGAATGCTAATTTGTTCACCTTTAGGAAAAAAATGATTATCCAATTGCAGAAGCTAAAATCTTGTATATCATTATGTAAGACTCCCTCTTCAGAAAACTTATAAAGGAGAAATGCTAAATCAGATACTTATTGTTGTTATACGCAAATATTAAAAACTTCCTTCTTGTGCATTAGTACAGTTGATAAAATACTCATTTCTTAATCCATCCAAAGTATTTCACTTTTATAATAGTTTTCTTCTACCATCACGATAAACATAATATAAAGAATATCTAAAGAGCAGCACTTGTCCTCTTTACTTCACTCCAGAGCCAGTGAACAAAGCAGTGAAGCAGAAAGAAGGTACATAATGGATTTAAAGTAAATGGCCCATTCTTTAAGAGGCGGCCTCTCATTTTTACTCATTCTAGCTTAATTGTCATTACAATGTCTGGAAACCTCAAACGAACAATTATTTTTATGCCAGCTGTCAAGTTGGTTCCCTTAAAGCTAGATATTTTTTTTTTTTAAACTAAAAAACAAAGCAATCAAAATGTTAATGAAAATATTCTTCTGCAGAAACATTGTAAACATCTTTAAACATATTTCAAGCAGTTAGCGCCCAGTCCATTCCATACACCAAGACAGACAGAACATTTACATTCACTGTTGCACTTTATAACATACTTTTCTGAGAAATAATGCTCCCAGCTGCACTGGAAGCTTAGTCGCCAATATATGAAACACACTGATATGTACATAAGTCCCTTGGGATTTAAAAATAAAGAATTGGCTAATTTTTGCACCTACCTGGGTAAAAATCTTTGGATTTAGACAGCTTGATGGTGGCCCCAGTCTCTTTCTGCAACTGAACAATTGTCTGTCCTCCCTTCCCAATTATAGATCCAGCAGCATAACTAGGTATGAGGACCTTTAGAAAATACTGGCCATCCTCTGAAAAATTGAGATATGCATGGTTAATATGGCTTACAAACTTTGATTCTTCCTCCCCAGACCCACAAATAAACAAAATGTTACATCTTTAAACTCATCCAGTAATTCATGCATTTACATCTAACCAGTTGCGTCATTCTACAAGACATGTTTATAGTATGCCTTTGACATTTTAAAATACGTGCGTTTATTCTGAGCAAATTAAAGAATCCACATAGATTCTTTAATTCTGTAAAAGAATAAGAATAAAATCCAAATCATATTTCAAAGGGGGATTTTTTCCCAATGCTAACCACAGCACGCAGAAATGATCGGACCCCTTTTAAAAAAATAAAGCCTTGCACGAAAACGTGCCTAGTGACAACTACAACCTTCCTTGAAAATACTGCAAAAGAAATGCCAAAACTAAGAAGGAATGAATTGTAAATTCTGATGGGCTATTTGTTTGTCATTAGCAAACACATGAGAATAGCAATTAGCTATTGCCTGCATTCTTCCTAAGTGAGCAAAACGACTACTCTGCTACCAAATAACCCACCCAAAATGTGGGGTTTTATTCCAAGCATTTCAGCCACTGCCAAGAAAACAACTCAACATGGTGCGGATGGAATCACTTGCCTAAGTAATCCTGATGTATTCCTTTAGCACTTCTTAAGCGACAATGATCTCTTTTAAGCTCATTAATTAAAGGACATTAAGAAGAATTTTTCCCAATTGATCAAAAGCCTAAGTCACTTATTTTAAATACACTTAAAAGGTGACGAGATAGACAATGCCAGTCCTCTACCCACCACTAGCGTTAAAACACACAATCGGAACAGGAAAAAAATACATATAACGAATGGAGGCGGAAAAAGAAAAAAGGATTCCCAGTTTGATTCGGCAACCGCACAATTGTCAGTGCCCTCACCCCACCGCTAAATCCAGCTACGCTTAAGTCTAAGCACCTTCCGTAACCGGCTCCGAAAAAGTGCAAGACAATAAGGGTCCGCTGGTTCCCCAGACTTGGGCTCTCCCCAGTAATTAAGGCAACGTCCCACTGGCATGGATATCAAGATTTTTATCATGAAACCTGTTTCACAAAGTTGTTATTTTTTTTCCCCTAAGCGGAAGGAACGATCCCAGTTCACTTTACTTCTCTCATCCGAGACTATAAGCGTCTCAAGAAGTGCCTATGTGTGACAGTCGTGCCCACCCGGATTAACATAGCTGGCTGAACCACGCACTACGTACAGCCAGACCGCTGCTCTTAATATTGGGCAAATAAATTCACCCCTGCCTCGGTGCATTGTTATGACGACTCCAGTGCAAACGGATAGAGGAGATGCTGGTCCCGTTATAACTCATCTCCTCCAGGAAGAGCAGGATGTTAACTAGCGAGTCCCCGCAGCCGAGAGGCGACTCCCCCCGCCACCAGCCAGCCCTCGCCCCCAGCACGGCAAACACACGCCGTGTACGCGCTGACAATAGAAGTGAGGCCAAGGAGGAGGAAAACGCACGGCAAGGCTGAAATTCAACTTGCGACCCAGAGGATGTGGAAGGAGGAAAGTGCGTTTGCCGTCTCCTTCCAGCTGCCATTTATTTTCGCCCATCGTTAAACGGGCGAGGGAGGTAGCTGGGCTGCAGAAGCCCCTTGTGCTCCCTCCTAGTCCCCACAGGGTCACGGCTGTGCAGCCCCGGCATGGATATTAAATAAAAAGACTGGTACATGCTGAAAACCGACGCCATTTTGATGAATGATAACATTAGAGAAATGGGAATGTTTGGGGGGGAAGGGGGGGAGGCAGGCAGACAGGCAGGTAGGGTGCGTTTGCCGTCTCCTTCCAGCTGCCATTTATTTTCGCCCATCGTTAAACGGGCGAGGGAGGTAGCTGGGCTGCAGAAGCCCCTTGTGCTCCCTCCTAGTCCCCACAGGGTCACGGCTGTGCAGCCCCGGCATGGATATTAAATAAAAAGACTGGTAGATGCTGAAAAAACCGACGATTTTGATGAATGATAACATTAGAGAAATGGGAATGTTTGGGGGGGAAGGGGGGGAGGCAGGCAGACAGGGGAAGCGGAGAGGTGGGTGGTGGGTGGGAGTGGGCTCGTCCCGTTCTCTTGTCCTTTTCGAAAATGTAGAGCTAAGCTCGGGATTGTCGAGGATGCTGCGCGCCTTGTTTATCTGGCACCCGGGGGGAGGGAAGGGAGAGGAGGGAGGGAAGCGGGCAGGACTGGGCTGGAGGAGCAGCTGCAGTGCAGTGTCAGGAGGAGATGAGAAGGGAGACAGGGGAACGAGGGGGGCGAGAGAGGGAAGAGAAAGGGGGAGAGGGGAGGAGGGAAAAGAGTGAGAAGAGTGAGACAGGAGGAGGAGAGGACAGAGTGAGTGGGAGAGGAGAGGAGGGGAGAGAGTGAGTGGGAGAGGAGAGGAGGGGAGAGAGAACGAGTGAGACTGGAGGGGGGGAGAGAGAA